TATATATATATATATATATATATATATATATATATATATATATATATCTTAATATATAAAACAAAGTCGGGTTAGTTAGAACACTTATAACTCAAGAACGGCTGGGCCGAATTTTTACCACAAGTATATGAAATAGGGGTAGAATTTTTCGGAATAGCAGAATAACTAATAAAATATCGGAAAAATTCACGTAAAAAAAAAAAATTAATCTAGAAAGATATCCAAATACATAGAAAAAATACATAGAGAAAGAAAGAGAGAGAGAAAGAAAGGGGGAGAGAGAGAGGGAGAAAAAGAGAGAAAGAGAGGGAAAGAGAGAGAGAGGGAGAGAGGGGAGAGAGAGAGGAAGGGGGAGAGAGAGGAAGAGAGAAAAAGAGGCGGAGAAAGAGGGACTATTTGCGTGTCTTATCACTACATTCATTACTGTTAGGCGGTACGAAGTTCGCCGGGGCAGCTAGTATACATATATATATATATATAATTAAAGATAGAGCAAATATATCTCGGTACATGTCGAATTATGACAATAAATTGTAGTATAAATTTATTACATCTCGTAGATACGTTGCCTTAAAATGGATGGGCTAAAACTAATTATGGAAAATATTTAATCTTGGTTACTTATGTTTATTGATGTATTGTGCGATTGTGCTTGAGGAAATACTCGCACACTTCGCACGCATAGAGCTCGCACAGAGACAAATCTTCGCGTTCTATATAAATAATTTTTAAATAAAATTTTAAATCTTAAATAAAATATTATATCGAATCAGAATTTTATTTCGCGAATTTAAATTAGTAAATTACACTGCAGTAAGTTAAATTTTCAAAATTTTGTTACGTAGATCAATTCTGCTTACAATTAGAGCAATAAATATTTTTGAGAAATACAAAGAAATAACAAGTAAAGTAATACTATCACAATTAAAGTAATGATTTTGAAAATATAAAATTTTTATTTAGATCTTTTATAAAATTATTTTTGTATTATTTTTCTTGAACAAAAGAGAAAAGAATAAGATATTGTGTTATAAAAAAAACTGTCTGTAGATAGGGAAAAGTTATAAATTAGTTAGGATTTGTGTTATTTATACCCTTCTATTCTTTTCTATATACTTAGTCAAGATTAAATATTATAAAAATTGATGCAAAGAAGCAATATATAGATATATAATAAAAAGGATAAGAAATATTTTGGTTTTATTATGCGATTTATTTTATAGAAAACGCGATATAATGGTTATTAAACTAAAATTTATTTTAACAAAGCATCGATTTTACCCTAATTTTTTGTAGCCTATCCATCTATTTTTGATTGAAAAATTGACTTTATACCAGTCAAGTAATATATGACGTGAGATTGTAAATATTCTATCGAAAAACGCTGAAACTTTTTAAATTATTTTAGAATTAATCGTATATAATACAATTATATGGAGGGGTAAAAGTCATAGTGGTGTAAGTCAAAATTTTCAAAATATTGACTTGTGTGCATAGATGCAATCTATACAATATATAAATTGCATCTATTGCATTTATGAACAGCAGAAGAGTTTCTCTCCGGACCGTCTTAAATTACCAACGCGACATCAAAAATAACAATTCAATCGTTTATCTTTAAACCTTTCTTTCAGTCGATCGTTATTTGACGAACAATTATAATCTCGTAATATTTATTCTAATTATTCAATCCGTACTTAAAAATCTTTGCGAATCGCGGCGTTTAATTTCCCATTCTATTCGCCGCGCGAGGCAATAAGGGGATTCAATCATGCGTAAAAGATATAACTCCGTAACCGTTCTACAGAACCAAAATAAGATACGTCACACGCACTAGCGCGAGAAAAACAGGTTATTCGTTACGGTATGTCGCAGGCGCGTGCGTTCGGACAAAGTCACGCGGGTGACGTGGACCGCGGGGGAGCGACCGGGTCTTCATTCATAACACAACGCGCTCTCGCCGAGTGAACATTTACGATAATACGCGCGATACTTTTATCGAGACAATGCAATATTTAACGCGCTGAAATATCCGGAACTGTTTCTCAAGTATTACAATTTAAATTTACAGAGACTTATCACATTTGTTCTTTCCATCGTTTCATTAACAATATATAACTTTCTGCCCTATTATTTAATTTTTGGAGTTTGTGAAG